CCACACTAAGTAAAGTCCTCTGGAGTAAGCGATTGTGTAGATACTGATGGTCATAAACATTTGGCGAAAGCCATGTCGTCAAACAGCAGCAGTGAAAGGTAATACGAGTGTAACCACTCAGTACGAATAGTGTTCTGGCAGCTGTGAGTCATATAACCCATAATAGAATACTGCATGTCGAATATTGGGCGCTAACGAAGGCCAAATTTGTGAGTTTTCAGTAACTTTATGCCCTCTACAGGTAGCACGTACGACTACGGATTAAATGCTGGGAGACAGTGGATGGTGCATGGTGTCACGCAGAATGTTGCAATCGTTTAAGTTTGTGGTGTTATAAACTGAATCATGTCGATAAATTAGGCCGGAGACGCAATTTCATGCATGAAGGGTGTGTTCGCTGTTACGGAGACTACATGACGGTATTGGTTTGAAGCCGGTAGCACAGTTCATTTTAGATTTGTCAAACAAAAGACGAAAGAAGAAAGTTGAGACTCAGGCGTCTTAGCTAGTGGTTCCAATTTCAGCTTTTTGCACCTTACTCCGGGACGCAGTCCATCGTTGTATACAAAGAGGCACCGAGTAAAGCTTCACTGGACGTTCTCAACTCCAATTCTGCCGGATGCTTTCATACTGCCACAGACGACTGTGCGGTACTCTAATATCGAGGTAGCCGTGAGTTTGTGTGCCATAAGTGGTGGCCTTGGTGTAAGCATTTTTCTGTTAGGAAGACCTATGAGTTTTCTGCCTTTGGAAGCTACAGAATCTGCATACTGTGTAAAAGTCGAACTCCTGGAGTAAGTGATGCCAAGATCTTTCACAGAGCTGAATATAGCGAAACCAATCTGCGATATCTTGAAGCATTCCCTTATGCCGCGAGGGCTCCCTGGGTAATTAAATATCTTGGGATTTCATCCCCTACTTCCAAGGGAGAAGGAGAGAATTTCTGACAGCTAAACACGGACAGCGCTACTCTCTGAGCTGTCCAAAGTGTAAGGAAGACTACCAGCAGACGAGGTTTAAAAGGTCCTCAACAGGAAAACACCGTACATATTGCTCAACATGGCCTTAGGGTTGGCTGCTTACGTCCTGCTGGTCTCCTGGTTCACTGTGTCGACTGAAAAAGTAGCCAACACAACAGGTTACGCGTCCACATCACTTCTTCTGACCTAGCATAAGCACTTGAAAGTGTCCTGCTCGGAATCCCACCCCAAAAGATCATGTTATCAGGCACAAGCAAACCTCCACTTTCTGCATTTCAAAAATTTCCTAGAAGGTAGACAATTCTGTGCAAAAGTGAAAAAGATGTGCTCAGTGGTGACCGTAAACATCTGAGGGTCCTAGCTCGCCTTTGGCAGCTTATATCAGGCTGACTACCTTCCTGCTTCGAGAATGTCCTGGATAACTTTTCTAAACGTCCTGCTATCCCATCTTAGGCAAATATACAACCGTAATCCTCCCGACAACCTGACGCTTCTTAGCTAACTCAATATGCAAACGACCGGTGCCGACCCACAAAAAACAAGCACCTCACCGGAGCTAAAAGCAGAGGAGAACAAGGGATTTCCTTATCCACTACCAGAGCAAACAAAACAACGCAAACCAAGCCACAGGAACTAGCTGCGATAGACTGAAAACTAGCAGCTTCCTGCGTTCGCACTACATCGACATTAAGTGTTAGGAATGAAACTGCTATTGGTCGTTTCAAATCAGCCTATGATCCCATTTCTGGCTCCTTTCCACCACCTTTCGACATTTTCTCTCAAACGAAGGATAGTCAAGAAGAGCTACGAAGCACGTCGTTTGTGAATACGAGATCGTCCAAGCCCCGAGCTCCTCACGCCGGCTGAATTTGTTTACTACGGTCCAGAACTTTCTATCTAATGGGTGTGCTCTGATTAGCGTCCTAAGTTGGTCGATGGTGACATCTTCTTGACTTATTCGAAACAGCCCGACTTGGGATGTTATTGAATGCTTTGGGTGGATCCAGAAAGATGACTTGTACCGGCTACTCGCGTCCATATCCTGCAGTTCGCTCTACCCGAAGAGCCATTAAGTTTGCAGCATGTTACCACCCTGTTCTGAAACTGTGTTGTGCGAGATGAGCGACATTGTTTCTGTTTACAGTGTCCCCAATCACATTTGCAAATAGTTACTCCAGTAAATTGAAGTTTACAACTGTCCGCACTTTTCTGCTTTCCTGCTTTGAAGAACAGTAACAGGATGCCGTGCCTCCGTTTTGCGGGAAAGCTAACTTACTTCCAGCAGACATGCAAGCAGATTGTATTTGAATACTTGGTATTCCGACTTACTTTGGTGATGCCGACGGCTTTCTTTTATCACACCTTGGAGATTTCTTTAGTTCGATTTTAGGCGGTCTCACAAACGCTTATCATAACGAAAGCAATACATTCCTCAGCCTTGGATCATAGTTCTGGAGAAGTGTTACGTTTCCGAAAATTGACGGCAAGTGGATTACGGTGTTGAGCTGGTCGGATTATCAGTTGTTCAGCAGCTTCGCTGTTGCAATGCTTTCCAAGGTTTCAGCATTCTGTAGTGTGAGCGGCCTTTACTTTTCGTTTGTCAGTTTGACACAAAGTGGCATAGACATTTCGGGTTGCAACTTGGCAAACCCACGAGGACAATCCAAAATCTGAACTTGCTTTAGTGAACGCCTATGCCGGAAAGATTTTGTAACCTTTTGTAGCTGAGAAAGTCTGATACCATGCGTAATGCTTGCCTCCTGTATTATGCTCTCTTCTGCTACGCGTTTGCCTTAGCGAAATGCAGGATGCCCAAAGACTGCAATACAAACCTGACGAACGTGACGATTTCGTCAAACCAAGTGTTTGAGGAACTTTCCAAACTCAGAAGAGAGAGATCTCCCGATGGCGATAACATAGGACTGGTGGCCCCACGGAACTGTACCGAAGCGCTGAGCGTACCCATGTGCAATCTGTTCACTCGCTCGTTGAAAGTGAGTCATCTCCCTAAAGAATGGAATGCCGTCATGCTTTCACCAGTCTTCAAGGGAGGAGGGCGAAAAAACTCCAGCAATCGCAGACAAAAAACATCAATTAGCATTCTGTTCAAGAAACTGGGAAGCCTGGTTTCGGATGTTGTTAGGGGCCACGTAAACGGGAACGGCAATGTTCATCTGGGTCAGCACGACTTAAGAATCGACTGGTAATGTGTCACAACCTTTAAGACCTCCTGGGGTGACTGGACCGCCAGATGGGATAACAACCAACTGGTCAGCGTTATCTCTCCGAACCTAATCAGAGCTTGCGATGGCATCCCACGCCGCACACTCTCGCCAAAATTACGAAAGTAGGTATCATTGAACCGCCAACGAAATGGTTTACGGGGTATCTAGAGGACAGGACGAAAGTAAACAGAATTCGATCAGCTTGGAGGAGTGCAAGAGCAGGAATTTGTCAGGGAGTGATCCTTCGGCCACCCCTACTTCTGTTTTTCATTAGTGACCTCCTAAACGGGATCCCCCTGTCTATCCTCTTATTTGCAATAGCATCAAAATATGTGTGAAAGAGGATCCCATAACATTCCGAGACGGTCTTCTGCTGCTAGAGTCCTGGTCAGCTGTGAACGGTTTAGGCTTAAATCTGCAGAAGTTTGAGGTGATGTGTCTGTGCACACCGGGAGCGATGAAAGCCAGCTCCACCCTAAAAAAATGGCCGTTCACCAGGGTGTCAAACGAGCAACCAAGGACCAAGCTTCTCCGTTGAATTGGACACTATTGCCAACCATAAGAGAGGGGCAGCAAAAGCGAACTCCGCTGTGGACTTCTTAAGAAGGCAGCTTAGAGAGCTAACACCAGGATTACTCCCCATGGTATTCGAAACCCGTAACGGAGCACACCAAGAAGTATTCAACACGATAGCCGAACCCCTTCTGAAGACTGAAATAGGAACTTTCGAGAAAGTAAACCAAAAAGCGACAAGTTCATGTATCTGACTAAAGCGCAAAACACATGCACAATGCTCTAGACAACTCAGCTTGTTCATATTAAGCTCTCCAGGGAAAAGAGGCTCCCTAATGAAAGCTTACAAGACTATGAACCAACCGGACCACCCCAACAGGTCAATGCTATCAGCCAGAAACCGACAGTCTTGTGGCGACCCTACTCTTATGCCCCACCACTAGGTAAAAATGAGATAGATCTAGTTTGTTACATAGAATGTCTGCTTTAAGGAACACTCTGACGAAGGAGGTAGTTACAGCTACATTAATTGATTCCTTAGAACAACTGCCGAATAAGTACGTGAGTGGAACGACCCACCATGAACATTCTCCGGTAGCAACTGAAGGTATGCTTATCCATCCATGTATTCTTCAATCCCAGTATTTGCAATAAAACCTATTCCTTCCCCATGTTGTTGCCAGTAACACTTTCTTCCCAATAAGAACTTTTCACTCCTCCTATCCTCATACCCTACAAGCACTATTTCTGACGCCACTTTCCAAATAATGCTAAATATTTGATGACAGGTGCTTAAAAAACGGTAATTGCAAAGGGTTATCTGATCATATAGGTGGCTTCTTTGCTCTCCCAATCAAACCAGGCCGCAATTTGCGAGACAATGCATTCAAACGAACAATCACTACCTCAGAAACTTAAGGGAGGAAAAACACGAAGACTTCTGGAACCATTGAAGAAGCTTAACTGACCAAAAAGAACCGGGCCTCAAGACCTAGAAGTGAGAGCTCAAAAACTACAAGTTTCTCTAAACCATACAACTGATGTTGGATTTCATCGGAGCGAAAAGCTAGAAAACATAAGATATTTCCTTGCCCACTACAGAATCAAACCAAAGGAAGCCCGAATAATTAGGCGAGAGGAATAAAAAGCTATCATTTTCCTGTTAGCATAATTGAAGAACTAGACGCGAGAGATCAAAAACTACCAGTTTTCTACGCTCGCACTGTCAATATTGGATATTGGAAGTTGGATGTTTTAGGGTCTTGCATGCTGAGCGGTATTTATGTCTAGTAACGCCACGGTTAGGTCAGTCGCACTCTTATCTAATTATGGATTCTTCTCGTAGTTATTGAATTATATATGCATTTTCAAGTGTCAAGTACTATTAAAGTTGACTGCAACAACCCAGTCCTACGTTTCTGATTGGTCAGGGTGTAGGTTATGAGGTTAAATTTCATAGAAATACCTGGTTTACAAAGGAGTCTATCGAATCAAACTTGTAAATCTGTCCTATTCCTATCTCCTTGTTGTCCCACTAGGGCTTAATGTAGCTGTAAGTATGTAAGTGACCACATAAACACTCGACAAGATTCCCAGTGGACGTTTTTCGTGCATGCATGTAACCTTCATAAAGGTTACTTTTTGTAAGATTTGGAATAAAAGGTAGATTTAAAAGTCGTCATTTCCATTGCCAAAGCTTTCCTGTCATAAACAGATCGACCACAGTATTGCCTGGGTAGATTCATATTGCTATGGAGAATACTCTTTGTCAGTCTTTGACGTTTCATCACACAACAGAACTTGCTTCTTTCCGTAGAAATCATATTCCGCATTTCTCCGTAGATTTTAGGTAGTTTTCAGTGGATAGCTAGTTAATTTCTGGCATCTCGTCAGGTCCCGTGTCGCTATCGTTTTGCTTCGCGTTACACTCAAATCCTATTACGGTTTACCCTGAATTTCCCCACGAAAATGTTGACTAGGTTGAATCTTTGCTGATTTATAGTACAGTGCAATGCAAAAATCCATACTATTGACGCTAAAGTTTGTGCGTATATGCTAGAACTGAACACTGAAGCAGATTTTACTGAAAAATATGTTGACTAAGTCATCCTACGACCCTCGTAAAAGAAATTGATGAAGACAAGTCTACCTAGTATGTCTGGATGTCTAGACATCGTAGTTTCTTTCTAACTTACTACATATTGACTGTAAAGTTGAAAGTGAAACTAAATTTGAATATTTTCACTATAGAATTAACGTATGGTGCTGACCGTCTTGACACGAGATTTCATCAATCGTTACGCACACATTGTTTTAATATTAAATTTATATGTTGGATAGTGGTTATAAAAGTAAATGCTGTCCATAACTACCAACTCATCATTTGACCATGGATTGTAATTTGTACACATTGCGTCTTTTCGTCTTTAGTTTTCCTTGCTTTATTTACTTCTGTCACAAGAGTGATTCAGTGTTTGTGATTAAGTTTGTATGCATCCCATAAAATTTGCTGTGAGAAGTATAATTAATAAAATCCGTATTATTCTTATCAAGCTACATCTTGCATAATAGAAAATAATCTTTTCACAGGTTCAAAGTGGTAAAATCAATCAATGATACGAAATATTATCCCATATCATGTCCATAAAATCGCCTCAAAACACGTTTTCTTCGGCCATCCAACTAAATACTATCGATGACTACATTGCCCCTACGCAGGTTCGGTTTTTAATTTCTGTAGATTCAAACTTCCTAGGCGTGTATCAAACCAGTAAAGATCGATACTTCACTTGGGAAGACCAAGTCTATCAGAATTGAAGAAGATGGTTCATACACGGCGATAACTGAGGTATTATGTGTACTAATTTAATCCTTTTTCCTAGGATGGTGGTAAATATGCCCTGCAGAAAGCATCTATCAGTCTCAATGATTGCTTAGCATGCAGTGGCTGTATAACTTCTGCAGAAACTATTCTCATATCTGAGCACAGTTCATCTGCATTTTCTGATTTCTTATTGCGAAATGAAACCGAACAGGTATTGCCACCAATATATTTCTACATCTATAGGTTACTAACCGGAGTATAATAGTTGTCACTTTGTCTCCACAAAGTATTGTCAATTTGCTGGCTCATACGTCTCACATCCCCGATAGTAAACTAGCCAAATGTTTCAATTATTTTAAAACCAAATATTCGCCACCAAAACCGGATGCAGATACTTTTCGAACATTTATTACATCTTGTTTTCTTTCTATGGGAGTCCATTTAGTAACGGATGTTACATGGGCTCGTGATATTTGTCTTTATGAAGCTGGTTCGGAATTTATAAAACATTCCATAAAACATAATGGATGCACGGAAACCATGCCTTTATTTTCCAGTATTTGTCCAGGTAAAATCATTTTTATGCAGCACTCAACTCATTCATTTCTTCATATTAACACTCTTGTTTGAAATCCTTGGATTGTATGTGTATGTAAAATATCATTGACTAGTAATCTGACTATCATTGAGACTTGAGCCACAACATGATACCTTCGTAGGTTATTGTTTCCTATGACTTTACCATACCCTAGTTGCATGTAAATTTGTTATTCAATTCCAAAATGTAATCGGAAATGAAAAGTTCGTTAAAACTGTTGTATTGCTATTTCTGAAACAGATAAATTTACTTTCAGAATTCTTTGCTAAAGGTGTAGATAAAGAGTATGAGAAAATAAGAATAATAAATCCAGCGTCTTTACAAAGTCATAACCAAAAATTTCTAGATGTTTTAGTGTAAACCACATCTTTAACAGAATTCACATTCGGATTATATCCCAAACACTTACATATTATCGAACAAAATACGTTCAGAGAAAAGCCACTCTTTTCAGCGATATCATTATCAAACTGTACAATCGCATTTATATGGTGACAGAAAAGAAATCTTCCATAAAATGTTTGTGGACAAAGTCCAGTTTTAATTACAAATCAGGAGCTCGGGAAAGGAATTACGTAATGTGAAGAAGAGGTATCAAGATCGAATCAGTATTAAGTTATGAAGTGGAATGATGTAAGATGGTTAAAGAAACTGGGAAATGTAAAGAGAGATTAGGATTTTAAAGGTGGAAGAATATGATGTGTAAGAAGATGTAGCATGTAAGAGAGCAGATGTAAGATTTTCGGTGTAAAATGCTCTCACAGGTTATGTCCATTGTAAATCTAGTATTTGGACGAACTCCTTTTAAATGCACAGTTCACAGACTTCAAAATATGAATTTCCATGTCTTCTGCGGTTTTGACCAGCTTCAGATGTACGTTTTTAATGAATTTTGGATCCACTTTATGTGACACTGGAGTTACGGTTTGAATTTATATGGTGGCCAGAATCGATCAGATGTTCTCAAATAAAGTTGTGAGGTGTTTTCCTTACTCCTTTGTGGAGTTAAATTGGTATATATTTGGCATGGGTAAAAATTGGTCGTTATAGCGCAGATGTATTCACCTTTTGACGTATTCTAAAGCTTGAGTACTCACACTAACTTTGATCTTCAAATTACTTATTCTCTCATACAACTTCGTCTACTCTGATATCACTTTTTCTATCTACCTGTTCTTTGTATACTACTCTAAAGTATGACAACTTGGACCGATACACTTATGTGCAAGGTTCTGCGTTCATTCTGTCCGTCCATGTATTTGGAAATGCGCTCGAGAAGAGGATGATGAGTTCGGCCAACATACCTTACTCCATACGAACAGGAGACTTGATAAGCGAATGTTGGTTGCCAAGGAAGCTAGCCTATCTTTTACACAGAACCGAAGCATTTGAAGACCTTTCTCTATGAGCATGTTAGATGCCTTCCTTTTCTGTTCCTATATAATGTTTAAAAAACGTCATTCAAGAAGATAGCAGATTCTCGTTTAATTAAATGGTCAGTATGTGTTCACACCTATTATCCTCATGAGTATGATATTTTAAAATTTGTTCCAACTCTAAGTGGACATTGACTGTAATCCACACAAATAACTTTGGTCGCACCCATAGAGTGACATCAGCTAATCAGGTTGTAAACTCTAATCAACTGAAGTGATAGAGGCATGTGCTCTGAGCATATGAGCTGAGGACCCCTAATAAACTGAAGTGAGCCTACGCTGGTAGGTCTTAGGGTTTTCAGGTCAAGAAATAGTAAAAAACCATGAATTCTTTGTGACCTGAAGTCGTTTGAGAAAGTACAACACTAAAGTTAGGGTTCATCAAACAAGTGAAACATTTAGTCAGAAAACTTTTGGAATAAGGCTCAAAACGGCGTAGGAGTTTGGATCCATTGGATCCATGGTATTTTCTCTACCTTCGCTTTATTTTCTGATTCGATGAAGTTTGGTAACATTATTATTAATCGTTCACCTTGTATCCTAATGTGATGTGGCAATGCAACACCGTTAGTGATTGTATGGCTGGCTGCATCTAAGCACATCCAGTTCAAAAGATTGAGTTAATCAGTCATTATTTGTTTCATTTACTGTGTTGAATATACGTAGTTAGACATTTCAATAAGTAATTTCATGTTGTAAATGGGATTAACCAGCTTTAAAATAGCTTTCCAATAATTATTATTGTGATTAGGCGCTTTATTTTTCATTATGGTAATGCTAGCAAGTAATCGACTTCACTGATTATATTATAGGTTGGATATGCTACGCTGAAAAAGGCTCTGGCAGTTCAGTCAACTCTACCTCCAATGAATTCTCAATCCTTCCATATATATCCCGGATTCGTTCTCCTCAACAGATTGCAGGCAAAATAATTAAACTTCTGGGTGAAGAAAAATGTTTTCATGTTAGTATAATGCCATGTTTCGATAAAAAGCTAGAAGCATCTAGAGACGAATTCTCAGTTCAGTCAAATATCAGCAACTCTCGTATTCCAGATGTAGACTTGGTATTGGCTACTAATGAATTGCTTTGTTTACTTGAATCATTTTGTCATGAATTTGAAGGTGCTGTCCACTTTTCTCCATCTACACACATCACTGAAATTTCAGAAAGTCATAAAGTTATATTGTCGAGGTATGAGAAGATTTTCTTGATATATCTGATAACGGTTTTATGTTATTTGATATGTGACTTGTTTGCGCTTAACTCATAACGCTTTTTAAAAGCTTAGTGAATGAACTGAACTGAAAGGTAGTTTCTTCTCATCTGTTGTAGGCATGAGGATAATGTATGTGTACATCTGCGCAACTGACGTCGGTTGTGAGCCATATCCCCTAGAGTCTCCAGCCACTGGTTCCTCTTGTCCCACGGGTCCCATCCAACTAGTCTGCATCGTCCCACATGGTTCAAACCAACAGAGACTTCATGCATTGGTGCCATGTTTTAGTCTGGCCACCTAGCGCCTTTTCCCAACTTGGACCTACTTCGGCCAACATTATTAGTAGGTTAATGGAATACAAGGATATTGCTGATAATTAGCGCATAGAATCATCATATGTAAATATTCGGTAACAGTTTATACCACTTTCAAACATTCTAATTTTTTGGGATGATGTCTGGATAAAAATGAATGTAAGTTTAGAAAGGATTTGATGAAATAAGGTGAACTGCAATGATTTGCAACTTAAAAGGGAGGAAAATTCTAATCTGTAGCATGAAACTCGGACAATATAGTCTCAAGTTTTGTACAAGATATCATGATCCCTCTACATTCCCTATGAACACCTATAAAATAGTTCTTTAATCTACAGAACGCAAGCAACTACTACGGTTAGGATCGGGAAAATTTGTCGTATCAAACGAAACGACAGCAAGACATATAGAAGCAGGAAAACTAAATGTAGTAATGAAGGGAACCCTAATGAGTCACATAGTTTCTGGAACTACACATGGGTTCATAATATGTCAACACTATTACTCTCCATCCCGTAGTACTGTGTCCATAAGTTGACTACACTTCCGTTTCTTCCTCGGTATATCATCCTTTATTCACTGTCTCTTCTTTTTGTTTTGTCGTGTTTTCCTACAATTTTTTTATTATATCATTCCCAGTTTATAAGTTTATGGTTTCCCAGTGGTATTCATCGTGAACTGACATCAGTTGGGGAATTAATGAAACCTGGGAGTACTAGTACGGGATTCCTTACCAGTATACACCCATAACCCTAACTAGGAATGAATACCACCTTAAAGTTAGTAAAGCCCCACAAATTTCCAAGCTGAATTATTGTCCGCTGGTCATTAATCACAATCTTCAAGATGGGTTCCCAAAGTTCTAATCAGAAGCCATGACCTATTTTAAGATGTAAATATTTTATATTTATTAAGCTACACTTCAATATTGTTGTGTTATGGTATCTAAACAATAACAACATTTATAGATGTACATTTTGTTAGATGCTGTTTGTACTTCTCCTCTAATATGACAACCATAATTATTATTATTTGTCCCTTGGGTTCCTAATGGAACATAGGGCTTCAGTGGCACATCTCCAGTGCACTCTGTTCTCTGCAATCTTTCGAACCTGGCTCCACGACAGCCCACAACCTCTCATTTCCTCCTCACAAGATCTCCTCCATGTCACCCTCGACTCCGATGCCCAACTCGTCGCTTCCCATCTTGGTCCCACTCGAGTAACTGGCCTGGCGTGTGATGTCCCCAGTCGGCCTTCTCAGTGCATGCCTAATCCATCTCCACTTCCTTCTGCATATTTGTTGAACGATGGGTTCTTGGTTCGTTCGTTCCCAGAGTTCCTTGTTGCTTATTCTCATTATGTTGGCCATCTGATCTTCAGCAACGAGCCAGCGTAGGCAGTTGTTGATGAATGTCTGTAGTTTGTTAGAAATCCCTTTCGTAACGTGCCAAGTCTCTAAGCCATACAGAAGCACTGACTTGAAGTTATGAAAACCATAAGTAGATGGGTTATTTATTTGTGTCAGTATATTTTACAAAATAATCCATTAATAAACTTTAAAATGTTGGTTTATTTTACATATAATTATAGGTTATGTAAAGTATTTCGTGTAAAGCTACCAGAGCAGCAAAATATTTGCAATAAGCTTGACAGCATGACTTTTGTCGATGAAAATATTCTTCCTATGTATAGGCATAATGGAAGTGGTTCTGGAGGTTATGCAGCATATATTTTCAGAATAGCTGCAAAAGAATTATTCTCAATAAACTTAAATTGTAATATAATAGAGGATGAACATGTAATAATTCGTCAATTACAAAATCGAGATTTGCAGGTCAGTTTAAGTACTCCAGAGTTTCATTCTTATCCCTTTCTTGAATAAATTCTGTAGCCTATTGAGAATCCAGTGTACTGCACTGGAGTACCCTTTGTTTCTGCTGTATAGCTAGGAAATATTGCCCACTGAAGTAAGAGGAAATAAGAAAGCCTCATATGTTCGATCACTGTTGCCTTTCGTAGCATAAACCATATCGTCATCACATCAGTAATGTCGAGGTCGAATCCGGAGTTTTAGGTGGGAAAAAAAAGTCAGTTAATAGAGTTTTTCCCTGTCACGTAATGTTAGCCAAATTAGGGTCAGGCTGGACAAAAATTAAAAGTGACCATACTGAAACATGGCGTCAGTCCATGAAGTCTCTGAAATCGATGGTTGAAAACTGTCCAATATGACACTGAATCGACCTCACTGGCAAAAATATACCCGCGCACTAACTCCATATTAGTCACCATATCGAGTTTCACTCCTTCTTGTTATCTTTTCACAACTTTCTACCACTTTTTTTTTCCTCATTTCTGTATCTTATATGTTTCCTTTGTACCTTGATGTAGTAACTTGGATCGTTGCTCAGTAATGTAAGGTTCAGATCCCGCGTTGATCCTAACTGGTCATAAATAATATTCTTGTCGTTAATCCATAAGAAGTTTCATTGGTCAAGTATGATATTGATCTCATTAGTGACTTGCTTCTAGATGGATATCACGAAGTTGTAATGAGAAGCCGTGACCTGTAGGGTCAACCAGTCAGAAGGGAAGCGGATGCCAATTGAAGACCTTGGATGATAGTCACGCTATATCACGAATTGACAGAAGTTAAAAACTGTGAACCACTAGAAACCGACCCAATGGCTGGATGGTTAACGCGTTTGCCGTGAAACCTTAAGACTCTGAGTTCAACCCCTAGCCAGGTCGTGGGTGCGTACTGCCAAGGAGTCCCATAGTAGGACGAAACAGCTGTCAAATGCTCCCACATTTTCGATGGGATTTTTCCCGACTGATGATGAATACTACTTCTAAAAGCCTATTCCTTCATGGGCATGCTTTCACATATACAATATTGAGGTGACGAGTAACAAAGTTGGAAATGGATGCATTTTAGATTTTTTCGAGACGTCATACGGTAACTACACTGCATGAAGTGTCCAAAACAGTCAGGTGATGAAAAATTAGGGTGACAACTACCAGTTACCTACACTTTCACTTGAGTGTTGATTGATGTTAATCAGTATGCTATCTGAGAATAGGTTATTACACTCAATAGAGTACAACAGAACAATTTTCGCTAGCCCCCACCCCTCCTAGGTAGATTTTTTTTAATACTTTGTCAAAAAAATAGTTTTACATTCGTTATCATAGTTTGTAATATTTTCGTCTCTATGCCTTTACACCACAATGTTCATAATCATCCAACTGATGATGCTATATGACATGTTGAGATTTCTGTCCAGTACTCCTGAAATGGAGCGAGAAGACAGGCATACGCTGGACCGATGAAAAGACCATAGAAGATTTGGATTTCGCCGATGATTCGTGTCTAATGTCTTGTCGGGCAAACTCGAAGATATACGGGCGAAAACTAAAAACTTGGCCGACGAGGTGAAGCCAGGCAGCGAAGACGGGACTTCTTTCAAGTGGACGTAAAGAAGACAGAGGTGACGAAGATACCCAACCACCAACAACAAGCACCATGATCGGGAGAAATCTGGAGAAAGTTGTCTCTTTCACCTACCTACCTAGGCAGTATCGTCTCAACTACAGGCGGCGGCTCAGGCACAGATGAGGATGTGAAAGCCAGGATCGGAAAGACAGCAAGACAGGCTTTCCTGCATTAATCTGAAATCAGTGTGGAGATATACTGCACTCAGCATGAGGTGTGAACAAGATCCGGATTTTTAACACGCGTCAATTCACTGCTGCTAAATAGTTCAGAAACTTGGCGCAACAAGAAACTCACTCTGGCAACGAACCAACCAAGGACGTATTGCCCAACAAATATGCAGAGGAAGAAAGTGGAGATGAATTGGGCATACTTTGAGAAGGCCGACTGGGGACATCACGCGCCAGGCCAGGTCGTCGAGTGAAATCCAAACGGGAAACGACGAGTTGGGCGTCCCAGTTGAGGGTGACATGGAGACCATGTGAGAAAGAAGCGAAAGCTTGTGAGCAGTTGTGGAGCGAGGTTCAAAAGATTGCAGAGAACAGAGTGGAATGGCGACGTGCTACCGAAGGCCTATGTTCCACTAAGAATCCAAGGGACAAATAATAATAATAATAATACTCTTGAAATATCTTTCACAATAAACCTATTATTAGTAGTAGTATGTATCTTGGGTATTCAACTTACGTGTTCGTCTGTATTACTTAATTAATTCATTAAAGGAACTGCTGTTGTTTAACACAAAGGAAGATCGTAACATGGCAGCATCTCAACTGTCGTCTGTTTCAAATCGAATTCCTTACCGACATCTAACGATCCTTCCAAAACCGTTGTTAGCATTTGTAATAGCCAACGGATTTCGTAATATACAGACTGTTGTTCAATATCTGCGTAAAATGTATCAGGTCATAAAGTTCGATAGACAAGATCAAACAAAGTTCAAAGCAATGAAATCACTCTATCCATTTGATTATGTAGAGGTGATGGCATGCCCAAATGGTTAGTTTAACTATCATAGATAACAGAGATAAATATAAAATGCTTATTTTACTTGTGAGATTACTGTGGCATTACTAACCTTTGTTTCAGTAAATATCAGTTGCTATATCGTAATACATCTGGCAAACAGATAGCAATAACTTGTGAACTATGCGATATAAAGCGATCACGAATTGTTGATAGGAGTTGTCAATTTACCATTGTGTGCTTCCGTCAACTTATTAAGTAGATTTAAGCTTCAGGAAAACTCTTGCTTTTCATTTATATGCCTTATAACATCATGAATATCAACATAAGACCAGGCATTACTGCGTAACGGTCCCACTTCACACACCTCATATCAGTACATCAAGTAAAAAGACAGTGAGGTGGAAGATGAAGATAAGAAAATTCGGTCGAAAGGAATATAAAGTACTAAAAGAAAAAGAAAGAATGAGAAAATGGTGAGATCCTCGTTAAGATGAGGGTTGTGTGTGTGTGTGTGTGTGTGTGTGTACATCTGCGCCACTGACACCGGTTCTGAGACATACCCTCTAGAGTCTCCAGCCACTGGTTCCTCTTGTCCCACCGACCTCAACCGACTAGTCTGCATCACCCCACATGGCTAAACCAACAGTCAGTCTTCATAAATTGGTACCATGTTTTAGTCCGCTGAAGACCAATCCTGGAGCAATAACTTGCATTTAGGTGGTGAGAAACGCACCCCAAACATTCTCAAATTGTTCAAAAGACTGCGCACCTTATCAGCGTCTTCAGCTAACAGGACTATGTCATCTCCATACTCTCGGTCTAACGAGAATTCTCCTGTGATTAGGTCAACCTCTCTAGTCAGCTGACGAGAGGGAGACCATTTATAAGAATATCTATGACAAAATTGAATAGGAATGGAGACAGTGGGCACCTTTGACGGACACCACTCGATGAGCACAGCTCCCAGACATCCTACCATAGGCTCTAACACATAAGTGTTCGAATAGATGTACTTGGCACGTCTTTCAGTGAGAGACATTGCCATAAGACTTCTCGATCAACGGAGTCGAATGCCGCCTTCAGGTCGAGAAATACAGCTAGTGTTGGGCGTTGGTAAGCGTGCCTATGTTCCAGGACCTGGCGCAGTGCAAATATTTGGTCGATACACCCGCGATCGGGTCTGAAGCCAGCCTGGTTTTCTTGGGCTTCCTGTTCCCAAGCTCCAAACAGAAGTCGAAGAATTATAGAATCTAGAATCTTGGACACTGTTCGTCAGGCTGATTCCTCTGTGGTTATCACAAGAGGACTTCTCGCCTTTTTTGGAGATTGGGATAACCAATGATTTGGACCTGTCAGAGGGGATCGTATTTGATTCCCATATACTAGTTAACACTTCCGTTAACCTGACTAAGAGTACCTTACCACCATCCTTGTATACCTCAGGAGTTAGTCCGTCTGGTCCTGTCATTTAACATCTCTCAGTAACTTGGTCAAGGGTAATATTGTTACATTTACACCATGGAGAATAAATTCACTACTATGTCATCAGCGAGACATCAATCTTATCCTTTTATCGGCATTACTTATGCAACTCTACTAAGTATAACTATTTGAACTTTCAGTTGTATAGCATAGTCCATTATATTCAATGTTTCAGTGTCTCAAATATATTCACACTGTTAATTTCTTTTGATAACAATCATATAGGTTGTTTAAATGGTGGTGGACAAATAAAGGAAGTATTCACACAAACAAATGAAATGTATACAAATCTTTCAGTTTGTGAACCAATGTCAAATGACCTTGTACAAGATTTGTATGCGATTGTCAAATCAAAAGATGCCAACCTTGAATGTCTACGTACTTCATATAGAAATATTCCTAAGATTGAAATTATTAATCCAAGTGCTTTAAAGTGGTAAATAATAACTTGATTTTGATTATCTTACTGTTATTTATGAATTTCTACTGGTTAGAAATAGATTTTGTAAAACAAGATACAATTACTATTTATTGATATTGTTTTATTGGATCGAATTCTTCGACCTCTGTTGACATATTGGCTCCTTAGCGGATGCCTTGATATTGCCTGAATGTTAATTATGATGATTCGCTTGGTTGTGGCTAGTAGAGGATGCGCGTTTCGTCCTATTTGGGACTCGTCGGCTGGATGTACCTGCACCCCAGTGCGCAGTGATGTTGTTCCCACCGAGACTCGAATCTCGTGCCCATCGCTTCAAACGCCAAGGTGTTATCCACTATGCCACAGAGGAACGATAGCTACTTCTTGTACAACGGGTGATAGTTATTACTATTTCTTGACATACTTGTTATTCTCCGTTGTTTGTTTTATTGGATCGAATTATTCGACCTCTATTGGCATATTGGTTCCTATGCGGATGCCTTGATATTGCTTGGATGTTAATTATGGTAATTCGCTTTGTTGTGGCTACCAGACGAATCCAGGACATGCGTTTTGTCCCACTTAGGACTCGTCGGCTGGACGAAACATGCATCCTGTGTTCCTTTGGTAGCCACAACCAATTAAACTATCAAGATACAATTGTTTGTGATTATTGCTCATCATGGGCTGATATCATTTGAAGAACCATTAGAAACGTAAAGGCAATAGATATTGGGTGTTACTTTGTCAGGAATCCCAAACTAGGATAAAATAAACCTGCAAATTTTTTTCATTCCAAGTGAGAAAGATTTCAACAATGAACTATTACAACATTGGAAAACATTTAAACTGACCTACATCCACATTGTATCCGCATTCTATTCAACTTCAATCTAAATCGTACACATGTATCAGTAGTATAGATTGTGTCTATTGTAAGAAATCGGTCGCCAATCCAAAAACGGACCATGGGCACCTTAAAATGACTTGCCACCAAAAAAGTTTTTAAGACACAGACAGTTAACTGAAGCATAGATGAATTATAGTAGAAAGATTTTGTGAACAGGTTCTTACATAATTGATATTTTGTACAATGGTAACCAAAGAGCGAAAATGAACTATTAAGTAAAGTGGACTGGATTCAAAACTACGACCGGAACAGGTAGGCTTCAGGAAGTATAAATCATGTGCAGACCAAATTGCAACGCTTCGCATCATCATAGAACAGAGCATAGAATGGCAATCAGCTCTCTACCTCAACTTCATCGACTTTGAGAAGGCCTTTGACAGCGTCGACCGAGAGGTAATTTGGAAACTGCTTCAATACTACGAAATACCGCAAACCTTTATCCGCCTCATTCAACAACTATATAAAGACACCATATGCCAAGTAATTCACAATGGGAAGCTCAGTGATGCTTTTGAAGTGAAGTGAAGACAGGAGTAAAACAAGGATGCCTAATATCACCTACGATATTCCTGATTGTGGTCGACTGGATCATGCAGCAAACAGTGGGGAGCGAGAAGAGGGGGATACGCTGGACGGCGGAAAAGAACCTAGAAGACTTGGATTTCCCCGATGACTTGTGCCTGATGTCACATAAACTTGAAGATCTACAGGCGAAAACTAACAAGTTGACAGAAGAGGCAGCGAAGACGGGACTTCAGGTGAATATAGAGAAGACAGAGGTGATGAAGATACCGCACCAACAATAACAAGGAACTCCAGTCACCATCAACGGGAGAAACTTAAAGGAAGTAACCTCCTTCACCTATCTAGGAAGCACTGTTTCAACTACAGGCAACACAGGCACAGATGAGGATGTCAAAGTTAGAATCAGAAAAGCAAGGCAGGCGTTCATTAGCCTGAAACCAGTGTGGAGATCTTCTGCACTCAGCATGTGGAACAAGATACGGATTTTCAACACCAACGTTAAGTCAGTGCTTCCATGTCGTGGTTCAGAGACTTGGCGCGTTACGAAAGGGATTTCCAATAAACTACAGGCATTCATCAACTGCCTACCCTCGCTACTGAAGATCAGATGGCCAGAATAACGAGAATAAGCAACAAGGAGCTCTGAGAACGAACCAACCAAGAACCTATCACGCAACAAATATGCAGGAGGAAGTGGAGATGGATTGGGCATGCACTGAGAAGGCCGACTGGAGACATCACGCATCAGGCCGTCGAGTGGAATCCCCATGGGAAGCGACGAGTTGGGGGGTCGGAGTCGAGGGTGACATGTAGGAGATCGTGTGAGGAGGAAATGAGAGCTTCTGGGCTGTCGTGGAGCCAGGTTCGAAAGATTTCAGAGAACAGAGGTCATTGGAGACGTGCTACTGAAGCCCTATGTTCCACTAGGAACCTAAGGGACTAATAATAAATAAAAGAAGTAAAGTGGTAAACTGTTGACGGTAATTAGAGACAGTAGGGGGAGAAGATGGCTGAATCTGTAATGATAATAACAATAATGGTAACAATAATAATAGAGCTATTAAAATATTAGTTATAGTCGATTGTGTGGTGAATGAAATGAAGAGTCTTGTTGTAATAAATGAGCTATACAGATGACCAAGGCAAAGAAAGAGGCTGTACAAATCTCTTCTGAACATACAGACTTGGCTTGTTTAGGTGGATTCTTATGGCTTCTGCTGTATGTAAAAGATGAACTCGTAGAGCATGGATGAGGTTAGAAGGAATGTGATAAATAACTTTAAAGGTATTATGAGGAACTAATTGAAAAGAAATATTTCTTCGCCCATATTGTTTGTTTTACTAAATGTCTAAATGGGAATTTTTGCGTTTCTAAGATAGTGGGGTTCACAGGCACTGGTTGCTTAACTGAAGTACTAGATTAGAGGATACTTGGAATTCGACAGGTTTCAACTGATGAATGATGTTTTCTTTTCATTAGAAGTATAATCAAACAAGCTCCACATCCGTCGTACATGTTTATTTGAAGATGATAATAAACCTCATCATTCGAGAAGTGTTATGCTAGTGCGTGATTGTGAGGCAAGTACTAGCTTCACTGAGAGAGAGTATTCAAAATCTACACCTATTCAGCTTTTTTTCATGATCTGAAGCATAGACGAAATGATATACAGACAAATAGTTTTGCAGGGGCTAGAATATGCACGAATATATAACAAGTGGCATGGCTCTGGGAGCGCCTAGAGAGGAGCTTGAAGCGAACCACAAGCTTACGCTCTCACCTGAATTCATAAGAAAAATACTACTAGTAGACATAGCATCGATATTACTGATAATAATAATGATAATAATGAAGAGAGAATTCATAGCTACGTTTCTAAAAATTAGTTTAGAGACAGGTTAATTAGGTGGGAAACGTTTACTGCATGATTCTGGTAATAAGTCAAATTCACAGACAAAAGTAGCCAAATAGAGTTAGTCAAAGTGTCCAGATGAAAACCGTTAGACTCTAGTGTGACCGAAAATCTAGAAAAAAACTAGCTATAACCCTGTACACAAAGTAGGATATGTCTATTAGTTGTCATCAACATGGAAAAAGATAGTGGTAACCGTAAAACCGTGAGATTATTTGTAATATCTGCTGGCATATCCACCTCCTTCGTTTGACAATTTCAGAATTAAAAAGCTTAATATGTGCTAATGACGTTCATATTCACTTCGATAATACTGTATACTGTCGATTTAACAGTTTCAATAGGCAATTCATTGGGCCAAGTTTGGGGGACATCTGTATAGTTCACATTAACAAGACAAAGTCTAAACACAAATGAAGAGATGACGTCTTATTCTGTACACGTCGATGGCACATTTATCGTGCGCAGCGACTTACCCAGATCCTTTAATATTGCTCATGAATACATCGAGTTCGCTATGGAACGCGTGAATAATAGTAATAGATTTTGCTTTCTAGATATCGCCTTGTAACGTAGAAAGGATGGTACCCTTCTATTCACCGAATGAACTGCTTTTTAACAGGCATTAGTGAAAACTGTTTTATAGAAGTAGAAACGATATTTTAGTTGTGTTACGTTCTTTGACTTGCATGGTTTAATCATACCTATTAAAATATCAACCTGACGCCTTAGTAGAATGTACTGATGTAAGCACTTGCGGAGAAAAGACAGTCATTCTCTTGTGGAAGCTTACCTCTTAGAGAAGTTCTCCCATTTTCGAACAAGGAGAAGCATACGACGCTCGTATGCTTTTTAAATGATGGAGAATATTTGTAGCTCAGGTGGACAGTTATGACTGTGCTGAGTGACCTAGTCGCGTACGCTCATACAAGGATCTGTTTCTGAGGTGATGACATAATTAGGAGAGTCAATAAACGACTAAAAACTGTACTAAACAGAACATGTGCAACCAAGTTAATTTCTCTATGCAGAACACACACACCTGATATAATCAAAAGTCTTTAGGTTTTCTTCCCACGTTACATCTGATTATATGTATCAATTCACGTTTATCTACAGTAGCAGTTACATTGAGAGAACAAAGAGATGGACATACCTTAGCTTTTTTGACCAGTTATCAAAAAGCCTATTTTATGGGAAGAAGTGCTTTGATGAGTATGGTCACTCGGCATCTAATCGACACAGAATACCTTGGGATGCTTGAAGATAAACAACAAACAATGTAATTCGAATCTTCTAAAGTTCACTAAGGCTGAAACCTGAATTGTTCTCATTAAAAAGCAGTAATCCATCTTTCAGTACCATAGTAATTTAATTTTCTACTTTCTCCGTTATTTACTCTCATCATTATTTGACTGAAACTTGTTTTTGTTTGTACAAAAGAATTCCCATGATCATTTTACCAACTGAGTTCAACTCATATTATTTCTCACTTGTCATTAACTAATCTCTGCCTATATAATCTTTTGCTCTGGATACTAAAGCACTTTTTTCGTGTTTAATATTATTTCTGTTGAACTCTCCTTTGGATCAGATGTGCAATTGAAACTTCTTCACGTTTACAAAAGCCCTTTCTTCGAATGTTTTTACCCCTTATTATTACTTGTCCAT